GACGCTTATCAATATTGACATAGGTTCTACTTTTCACCAGGAGCCAATATCTCTCTTCCTGGCAAATGATTCATGCTGCTTTTAAATCCTCCCAACATCACTCTTCTGTCTACAACCTTTATCATTGTTTATTTTATCCATGACTGGGATAGATTGTACCAGCTTCCCCAGTAATTGTTTAACCACGTCCTTATTTTATCTGGTGATTAAAGTTACGTTAAATTGGGCTTGGCTGGGCTGGGTTAGGTTAGGTTAGGTTAGGTTAGGTTAGGTTAGGTTAGGTTAGGTTAGGTTAGGTTAGGTTAGGTTAGGTTAGGTTAGGCTGGGTTAGGTTAGGTTAGGTTAGGTTAGGTTAGGTTATTCTTGAGGTTAAATAAGCAGGGGGACTAATCCTCAGGTGATCTTGATTAACTTGGTAAATAGGAATTAACTGAAAGACAAACGTAAGTTGTGATGAACTTTTACACTTAGGTTATGGTGAACCATTTAATGTGTGACTTATTTCTCTTATGTCTCCTTCTTTTCTCTCCTTCTCATCTCCTTTCTCTTCTCTTCCATCTCCTTTCTCTTCTCTTCCATCTCCTTTCTCTTCTCTTCCATCTCCTTTCTCTTCTCTCCCGTCTTCTTTTTATTCTTTTCCATCTCCTTCCGTCTCTCTATTTTCTATCCCATGTAATTTCTCTTCTTCTCCTTCAACATTTTCCCACCTCCAGAAACTCACCTCCGCTTCCCTCCCTTCTTCCCTTCCCTCCCTTCTCCCCTTCCCTCCCTTCTCCCCTTCTATCTTCTTTCCCTCATCCCCCTCACTACCCTTTTCAACACTCTCCTTCTTTCTACCCCCCCTCCCACAAGGCCCCAGGGAGCAGTGGCCTCACTCAACTGGCCACTTCAACTTGTTGCTGTGGTAATTATGTGGTGGTGATAGTTGACCCACGCGCCACGCCGAACTGCCTGTCACCCTCGTTATAGTGATCAACCTGACTACACCTCCTCCCACACCTTCACCCGTCTCACAGAAAACGGGAGGGTGGAGCGTAGCTGTCTGTTTCCGGGTTATATAATGTTTGTTTGTTGTCGTGGGGATACAGCGTTCGCCTGTTCCTTGGGTCGGTGGTTCGATCCCCTGGCACCTCTCTCCTTGTGTACCGAAGGCTTAGTATACAGTGTGTTGTATCCACACACTGTTCCTAGCGGGCTGTCTTGCCTATGGGACCCACTTTCTTTTCTTTGCTTGTTTATGCTGCCATCAAATGTTTTATGATTACAATATATGTAAATGATTGAAAATAAGAAGAAATATAGACCACCTGAAGATTAGACACACCTGCCTTAATCTATCTAAACATTATTATTTAGATGACTCGAATAATTGGATTTCTATGTTTATTTGTGTATCTCTATGGCAGGTGTGAGGTGTGTGTAGGGGTGGAATATTTAGCCAAGAATAAATGTGGGCTGGTGATGGGTGGTGTGGGCTGACGATGGGTGGGTGTGGGCTGACGATGGAAGGTGTGGGGTGATAAGAAATGGCCCAGATGAATATTTATGAGTCTTGTGAGGGGTGGGGGTACCACAGCTGAATACTTCTTTCACAACAGTTAGAGCGAGGATGAATGACAGTGAATGTTAAGAGAATGAATGATAGTGAATGAAGAGAGATTCAATGGTAGTGAATTAAGGCCTAGAGAGAAACATTGAAACAGTGAATAAAGATAGAATATAAATAATGGTGAATGAAAAACGCTCGTGGGAGATAATTAAGAGTAAGAATGAATGACAGTGAATAGAGCGAGAGAGAGAGAATTAATGAAGAGAATCCTAGAGAGAGAGAGAGAATGAATAACAGTGAATGAATAGTCACATCTGTGTTTGTGGCTGACTGCGACCATCATAGCGGAGAAAAAATTCATAGGATTAAAAAAATATGATGGAAAAATATATCCCGGTATATATACAGTATATAAAAACAGGAGACATTGAAGAGACCATTGGTAAGAGTTATCGCGGGAGGGGGAATTGAGGGCGTGTGGCGAGGCTCGGTGGTACACGCCTCCTACCACCCTCCCCTTTACCCTCCCCCTACCCCCTCCTCGTGAATATATAATTGTTTTCACCAGCGAATTTTGCCCCGAAAAATACCTCGTTTTCATTCTGTCTGTATTGATAGGATAATAGACACGTTCTTTTTTTTATAATATAAGAATAATTATATATATATTTTTTAAGAACCTCCGTAGTAATTGTAGCTATCATTAAGGAATCATTTGATATCATAAGTTCATCAAACCTTATGTAAATTAGTTACCTAGCTTTACTTAAGATAGGTTAGGTCAGGCTTGATGAGCTGATCAACTTGGTGTTTAAAGTAAATGTAAGTATATCTTTTATTATGGGAAAAAATATTGATATTCATTATTTTAATTTATTCCTGAAAAAGTTACCATCACAAGCCGCCATATAACACCGCTACCATCACAAGCCGCCATAACACGCACATCACAAGCCGCCATAACACCGCTACCATCACAAGCCGCCATAACACCGCTACCATCACAGCCACCATAACACCGCTACCACAAGCCGCCATAACACCGCTACCATCACAAGCCGCCAACACCGCTACCACCACAAACCGCCATAACACCGCTACCATCACAAGCCGCCATAACACCGCTACCATCACAAGCCACCATAACACCGCTACCATCACAAGCCGCCATAACACCGCTACCATCACAAGCCACCATAACACCGCTACCATCACAAGCCGCCATAACACCGCTACCACCACAAGCCGCCATAACACCGCTACCATCACAAGCCGCCATAACACCGCTACCATCACAAGCCACCATAACACCGCTACCATCACAAGCCGCCATAACACCGCTACCATCACAAGCCACCATAACACCGCTACCATCAAAGCCACCATAACACCGCTACCATCACAAGCCGCCATAACACCGCTACCATCACAATCCGCCATAACACCGCTACCATCACAAGCCGCCATAACACCGCTACCATCACAATCCGCCATAACACCCCTACCATCACAAGCCACCATAACACCGCTACGATCACAAGCCGCCATAACACCGCTACCATCACAAGCCGCAATAACACCGCTACCATCACAAGCCGCCATAACACCGCTACATCACAACCGCCATAACACCGCTACCATCACAAGCCGCCATAACACCGCTACCATCACAAGCCGCCATAACACCGCTACCATCACAAGCCGCCATAACACCGCTACCATCACAAGCCGCCATAACACCGCTACCATCACAAGCCGCCATAACACCGCTACCATCACAAGCCACCATAACACCGCTACCATCAAAAGCCACCATAACACCGCTACCATCACAAAGCCGCCATAACACCGCTACCATCACAATCCGCCATAACACCGCTACCATCACAAGCCGCCATAACACCGCTACCATCACAATCCGCCATAACACCCCTACCATCACAAGCCACCATAACACCGCTACGATCACAACCGCCATAACACCGCTACCACCACTAGCCGCCATAACACCGCTACCATCACAAGCCGCCATAACACCGCTACCATCACAAGCCGCCATAACACCGCTACCACCACTAGCCGCCATAACACCGCTACCATCACAAGCCGCCATAACACCGCTACCATCACAAGCCGCCCCATACCGCTACCATCATAAGCCGCCATAACACCGCTACCATCACAAGCCACCATAACACGCTACCATCACAAGCCGCCATAACACCGCTACCATCACAAGCCGCCATAACACCGCTACCATCATAAGCCGCCATAACACCGCTCTGTTAACGAGTATACAGCCATGTCAGTATTGTTGTTATAATTCACTGTATTTCCTGGCTAAATAAATTGTCAATATCACCTCCGTCACGGGACACAGTTGATGGTTACAGTTTCACCTTTATCACAGGATACAGTCGTCACGTGGTACCATTAGGATGTTAATGGTAGTGTGGTGGTGATAGTAGTGGTGATTGTGGTGGTGTGGAGGAACAAAGACAGTAATACCTGCCTTATGCAATAGTCTTGTTTACTTTGCTATTTTTTACACCTGCCTCATATACCAGGTTGTTTGCATTAATTATCTATCAACACCTGCCACATATACCAAGTTGTTTACATTAATTATCTATCAACACCTGCCTCATATACCAAGTTGTTTACATTAATTATCTATCAACACCTGCCTCATATACCAGGTTGTTTACATTAATTATCTATCAACACCTGCCTCATATACCAGGTTGTTTACATTAATTGTAACATTATCAACACTGCCTCATACACTATCCATATTTTCACAGGTAATGGCCAGGTATTCACCAGAGAGACGCTGGTCATTATTTATTGTTAATTTGGGCCATAAAGTAATGGAAATATTTGTTTATATAAATTGACTTGTTTATTAACGTTTTTTGTCATTTATTTAGTTAATCTCTCTCTCTCTCTCTCTTTAGCTTAACAGAGGAAGCTGTGGTCTGTACTAACATGCTCTTTTCTCTCCCGCAGGTTAGTATGCGACTGACGACTTGGACGATGAGCTGTATCGTGTGTGAGTACGTTTTGTGTGTGTGTGTGTGTCTCTTTGTTTGCTTTTTGTGTGTGCGTGTGTGTGTTCTGTGTTTGCTTTGGGGTGTGTGTGTACGTTAGAGTTGGTTAGGTTAGGCTAGTAGACTTGGTAGACCCCGGCACTGTTAGACCTGGCACTGGTTGACCTGGCACTGGTAGACCTAACACTGGTTGACCCTGGCACTGGTTGACTGGCACTGTTAGACCCTGGCACTGGTTGACCCTGGCACTGGTTGACCCTGGCACTGGTTGACCCTGGCACTGTTAGACCCTGGCACTGGTTGACCCTAACACTGGTTGACCCTGGCACTGGTTGACCCTGGCACTGTTAGACCTAACACTGGTTGACCCTGGCACTGGTTGACCCTGGCACTGGTAGACCCTAACACTGGTTGACCCTGGCACTGTTAGACCCTGGCACTGGTTGACCCTGGCACTGGTTGACCCTGGCACTGGTAGACCCTAACACTGGTTGACCCTGGCACTGGTTGACCCTAACACTGGTTGACCTGGCACTGGTTGACCCTGGGACTGTTAGACCCTGGCACTGGTTGACCCTGGCACTGGTTTGACCCTGGCACTGGTTGACCCTAACACTGGTTGACCCTGGCACTGGTTGACTAACACTGGTTGACCCTGGCACTGGTTGACCCTGGCACTGGTAGACCCTGGCACTGGTTGACCCTGGCACTGGTTGACCCTGGCACTGGTAGACCCTAACACTGGTTGACCCTGGCACTGCTTGACCTTGGCACTGGTAGACCTTGGCACTGGTAGAACCTGCCCTGGTAGACCTTGACTGGTAGACCCTGGCACTGGTAGACCTTGACACTGGTTGACCCTGGCACTGGTTGACCCTGGCACTGCTTGACCTTGGCACTGGTAGACCCTGGCGCTGCTTGACCTTGGCACTGGTAGACCTTGGCACTGGTTGACCCTGGCACTGCTTGACCTTGGCACTTGTAGACCTTGGCACTGGTAGAACCTGCCCTTGTAGACCTTGGCACTGGTTGACCCTGGCACTGGTTGACCCTGGCACTGCTTGACCCTGGCACTGCTTGACCTTGGCACTGGTAGACCTTGGCACTGGTAGAACCTGCCCTGGTAGACCTTGGCACTGGTTGACCCTGGCACTGGTTGACCCTGGCACTGCTTGACCTTGGCACTGGTTGACCCTGGCACTGGTTGACCCTGGCACTGGTTGACCCTGGCACTGCTTGACCCTGGCACTGCTTGACCTTGGCACTGGTTGACTTGGCACTGGTAGACCTTGGCACTGGTTGACCCTGGCACTGCTTGACCTTGGCACTGGTAGACCTTGGCACTGGTAGAACCTGCCCTGGTAGACCTTGGCACTGGTTGACCCTGGCACTGCTTGACCCTGGCACTGCTTGACCTTGGCACTGGTTGACCCTGGCACTGGTTGACCCTGGCACTGGTTGACCCTGGCATTGCTTGACCCTGGCACTGCTTGACCTTGGCACTGGTTGACCTTGGCACTGGTAGACCTTGGCACTGGTTGACCCTGGCACTGCTTGACCTTGGCACTGGTAGACCTTGGCACTGGTAGAACCTGCCCTGGTAGACCTTGGCACTGGTTGACCCTGGCACTGGTTGACCCTGGCACTGCTTGACCCTGGCACTGGTAGACCTTGGCACTGGTTGACCCTGGCACTGGTAGACCTTGGCACTGGTTAACCCTTTCGCTGGTTGACCTGGCACTGCTTGACCTTGGCACTGGTAGACCTTGGCACTGGTTGACCCTGGCACTGCTTGACCTTGGCACTGGTGACCTTGGCACTGGTAGAACCTGCCCTGGTAGACCTTGGCACTGGTTGACCCTGGCACTGGTTGACCCTGGCACTGCTTGACCTTGGCACTGGTAGACCTTGGCACTGGTTGACCCTGGCACTGGTTGACCCTGGCACTGGTTGGCCTTGGCACTGGTAGACCTTGGCACTGGTTGACCCTGGCACTGGTTGACCCTGGCACTGCTTGACCTTGGCACTGGTTGACCTGGCACTGGTTGACCCTGGCACTGGTTGACCTTGGCACTGGTAGACCTTGGCACTGGTTGATCCTGGCACTTGTTGATCCTGGCACTGGCAGTAAAGGCACTCAACACGGCCAGAGCAGTAGGAAAATTGGTGGCACTGGCGGGGTTTCATGCCCTCGTGAATTATTGACCCTGTGTCGACCAGCCGTCCTCTCCTACCACCAATGTCCACTCGGCCACGGCTCCCTCCCACTATCCACTCGGCCACGGCTCCCTCCCACCACCACTATCCACTCGGCCACGGCTCCTACCCACCACCACTATCCCTCAGGCACGGCCACACGTCCAGGGTTCCCCACCTCCACTATCCACTCCTGCCAGGGCTCCACCCACCTCCACTATCCACTCGGCCACGGCTCCACCCCACTTCACTTATCCACTCGGCCAGGGCTCCCACCCACCACCACTATCCACTCGCACGCTCCCACCCACCTCCACTATCCACTCGGCCAGGGCTCCCACCCACCTCCACTATCCACTCGGCCACGGCTCCATCCACCTCCACTATCCACTCGCAGGGCTCCACCACCTCCACTATCCCTCGGCCACGCTCCCCAACCACCTCCACTATCCACTCGGCCAGGGCTCCCACCCACCACCACTATCCACTCGGCCAGGGCTCCTTCCCACCACTACTGTCCACTCGCCCATGGCTCCCACCCCCACCACTATCCACTCGCCCATGGCTCCCACCCACCACCACTATCCACTCGGCCCGCCCCCCCCCCCAGGCCCACCCACCCCATCCACTCGGCAGGCTCCCCCACACGTCCACTCGCCCAGCCCCACCCACCACCACTATCCACTCGCCCATGGCTCCCACCCACCACCACTATCCACTCGGCCACGGCTCCCATCCACCTCCACTATCCACTCGCCCATGGCTCCCACCCACCTCCCATCCACTCGGCCACGGCTCCCACCCACCCCACTATCCCGCAGGCCCCACCCCTCCACATCCACCGCGCCACCCATCCACTGGCACCCACCACCCACCCAACTACATCCTCGCAGGGCTCCCACCCACCACCACTATCCACTCGCCCATGGCTCCCTCCCACCTCCACACACTCGCCCATGCCACCACCACCACTATCCACTGCCCATCCCCACCACCACCTATCCACTCGCCGCTCCCCCTCACTCCCCCACCACCACTATCCACTCGCCCATGCCCCACCACCACCACTATACACTCGCCCATGGCTCCTCCACCACCACTATCCACGCCCATGGCTCCCTCCCACCACCACTATCCACTCGCCCATGGCTCCCTCCCACCACTACTATCCACTCGCCCATGGCTCCCTCCCACCACTACTATCCACTCGCCCATGGCTCCCACACGCCGCATTGTAGACAAAATCAGTTTAAATTTGGGGAAATTGTTTCTGATAGCTGTAGATTTCTTTCTATTTGTTTCCCTCTGCCTTATAACACACCTGTATATCTCACCCTTCCCTCCACCTGTCTGTCTATATGTCCTACTACAGTATCTATCTATCTATCTATCTATCTATCTATCTATCTATCTATCTATCTTTAGCTATATATCACCTATGTTATGTATCTGTTCTTAGGCAGCTACCAAACAGGGAGGTACTACCGCCTGGGAAGATATTGGAAGCATAATGTGTTGTCTAATGGTAGACCCTGCTGCCATATTATGTGACCAGGTCCCAGGTTGCTGATCTGACTTTCTGCCTCATTTACACACAATTGCAGGGTCTCAATTGTTTCTCTTTCCTGGACAACACAACATATATATCGTTTCTCACTTTTTCCTTTTTTTTTCATTTCAATATTTATTTTTGGTTCAATTTTGTTTTTATTATTTCTCCTCCCGGGCCCTGATGTGGGTCTGTGACCTTTGTCTGGGTGGGATAATCCCTGTATCTATTAATCTAACTATTTTCTCTACTCCCCGTTGACTCTTTTAGATATAATTATGGAAAATTAAAATTTAAATATTTAACACAAAAAGTGATCCACCAGCCACTGAACCCCAATAAAGAGATAAACACACACACACACACACACACACACACACACATTATTTCTCTACGGTAACTGCCCTACTGACTGTTACAAGTGAACATATACGGTGTAGGGTTGTATTAAGTTATCCAGTTAGTGCGTTCTTATATCTTCACTTACAAGGGAATTATTTAAACTTACGAGCATTCAGAATTTCTGCTTGGTATTGTTAGGTAAGGTAGTATGTACTGTATATAACATTGCAAGGTATTCACATTATTCTAACCATTGTAAACAAGACCGTATATGAAGTTATTGTGTTGTATTTTAAGTGTACATTTTTTACGGGGATTAGCCGACCCGGCACTGGTCACCGACCCATAGCGGGGCCTGGGGGCCAGAACAAACAAAACATAGATAAATACAAAATAAAACAGGTAAAGAGTGAGAAACGATATGTTGTTGTGTTGTCAAAGGAAACAATTGAGACCCTGCAATTGTGTGTAAATGAGGCAGAAAGTCAGATCAGCAACCTGGGACTTCGTCACAATTTTCGTGATGCCATATGGCAGCAGGGTCTACCATTAGACAACATTATGCTTCCAATATCTTGCCAAGCGGTAGTACCTTCCTGTTTGATAGCTGCATTGGTGACTACGTAGTGTTTCATCGTGAAGATGTTTTAAACCATCCGTTCCAAAAGCAGATTTAAAGTAGCCTACACATTTACACTGCAGTTACCTTTATTTTAGCTGATGAATCTTGAGGTGAAGGACGGTAGAGGCTGCCTACACCTAAGGCGCAGTCACACTTGTCAAGTATCGGTTAGAAATTAACAATTCCAGCAACTTCGACTGTCAGAACAGACAAACACCCAGTCGCCGCAGCGACAGTTGGTGCTCAGACTAGTCAAAGATTCTCATCGTTCGAAAGTTGCCAATTCAGACGAATCTCCGTCGCCCGTATTGATCTTTAGAATTCTAAAGTATTATTTCAGAAAATATCCACAACAAATTATTCACGTTTATGCCTGAAACGTGTTAGTTTGAGTCTTCTTTTCTATATTACATGTATGAAATACAAACTAAAATTATGAAAGTGTTGTTAAAATAGAAATCACGACCAGGCGACATTTGAGACGACGATTCGGCGACGCGGGAATCTGATCTTCAACTGACATTCTCCAAATATGATTTCTTGGCTGTGAGTGGCATCACTAGGCGTACTAATTCCTGAAACGTGGCCTTGCTCATGCTTTAACAATCATAGAATGATTGGAGGTGTTCCAGACCGACTTCTTATACTAGATTATGGTAAACACTCTTGCTGTCTCTTCCTGCCAACCAGGAACGTGTCCATACCCGATTTTTCTTGTTTTAACCTTCTTTAAGCTGTAGCCTCCTCCTACTAATGGGAGTCTCCGACTTAGAGGGGTCTTATCCGTTTGTTATTTATTTTTATTTTCGGTTTGTTTAGTGAGTTTTGAGTATATACTCTCTCTCTCTCTCTCTCTCTCTCTCTCTCTCTCTCTCTCTCTCTCTCTCTATCTCTCTATCGTTCAGAACGATTAAAATCAGTTCATTTGGTGTTTATGTTTTAAGATTATGGGTTAAAAAGGACGTACCGCTTTATTTATTTTAGAATTTCATAAGTTTATGTAATACCACAGCATTCATACTTTTTCGTGGATATTTGTTCACTCTTTTCTTATATAATACTCGTAAAAGATTTTCCTACTGTACCTGAGAGCCTTCAACAACAATTAATTATATTTGGCATCGGCATCAGTTGGTTTCTTTATTTATATTACCTGAATATTACAGTAGACTTCCTAGCTTATTTCGCCTGATGATTAATAACCCTAATGTTACCTTTTTATTGGGGTATAGCCCACCTGGGCATGGGTCACCCGCAACATGGGGGAAAAAAAATTGAGGAAAAAAAAATGTTAACCTACATCACGAAAATTCCGGAAAACCAGCTTTTTGAATTGTAAGAGGATGGAAACACAGAAGGCAAATAATTCCACTGTTTGGCTGTGTGAGGAAAGGAGCTACTGTAACGGGTTAGTGGCCGACATCCGCGCAGAAACGGTGGTGGTACACAAGATGCCAAATCCACTGAACATTGTCCGCGAAAGTACCTGGAAAGAGAGAGTGAAGCAACATTGCGGCGAAGAGAAAGGGAAGACAGATTATCAACTAAAGGAGGAGAGTTAATAACACGAAATGCCTTTGATTCCACCCTCTCTAACAGTTGGACAGAAGAAGAGCCACCCCAGATATGAGAGCAGTACTCTTAAGTTAGGACGAATAAATCCCTTATAAACTTGAAGCAATTGCTCAGGAGTGAAGTAGCTACGGCATCTGTACAACCTGGGGGGTAGACTCGTTTAAGTGATGTTAGGTTAAGTTAGATTAGGTTAGGTTCGGGTAGGTTGACGTTAGGTTAGGTTAGGTTAGGTTAGATTAGGTTAGGTTCGGGTAGGTTGACGTTAGGTTAAATTAATATAGATTATCTTGGGTTGAGTAACGTTAGGATATGCTAGGTTTGGTAATTTAATCATCAGGTGAAATAATCGCCAGGTGAGTTGTGTCGAGGCTGACCGCACTCGAGGTCTTCCGTGTTCGACACAGCTCAACCCCGAGTAACACTATACTGTATGTTGCTACCTGGGTTATTTAGTCTAACTTGGTGGTCTGTTATGCTGGCCTGGCTGAACTTGTGCCTTTGTGAACTTCTGTGTCTCTCTAAACTTAGTGTCTCTGTAAACTTTGTCTCTGTTTAAACTAAGACTGTTAAAGAAGTAAACTTAGTATCTGTAAATTCAAGGATAAACTTACCGTCTGTGTAAACTTAGTATCTGTGTAAACTCTAGAATGAACTAATCGTCCGTGTAAACTCTGGCCCAAAGGCTCTATGGTCTGAGTAGAGTTAGTGTCTTTGTAAACTGAAGCAAATACCTTAATGTTCAAGTAAACTTACAATGTATTTATAATCCCAATAAACTTCGCATCTATGTAAACTCTGTAGCTAAAAAAAAATATCGATGAACCGTGACGTCACTAGCAGTTAGGGGTCAAAGGTTTACACTAAAGGAATATTTCGTGTCGACCAATT